AGGAAGGAAGGAAGGAAGGAAGGAAGGAAGGAAGGAAGGAAGGAAGGGAAAGAAAGAAAGAATTAGCCCTGGCCAAGGTGGCTCAGTTGGCTGAATGTCGTCCCCTGCACAGAAAAGTTCCCGGTTAGATTCCCAGGCAGGGTGCATACAGGAGGCAACCGATTGATGTTTCTCTCTCTCCCTCTCTCAAATCATTAAAAAAAATATATTAAAAAAGTAAAAAGATAAATGATTCTTTTAAAAACTCCTAGCAAGTGATTTGCTTAATTTTTTTGCTATATTCATACAACCAATGTTATGGATTATCTACCAGTGCCTAGGTGCTTCATATTAGTCATATTACTGGAGTACCTTCCTCACATTTTCTCCAAACTCTCTTGATAACTTCTGTTTAAAAAAAAAAAAAAAAAAAAAGTGTTTATTGATTTCAGAGAGGAAGGAAAAGGGAGAGAGAAACATCAACGATGAGAGAGAATCACTGATGGGCTGCCTCCTGCACGCCCCCTACTGGAGAGGGAGCCCATAACCCGGGCATGTGCCCTGACCAGGAATCGAACTGTGACCTCTTGGTTCATGGGTCTCCTGGTTCATGGGTCAATGCTCAACCACTGAGCAACACCAGCTGGGCTCTTGATAACTTCTTATGCTTATTAGTTGAAATGCCAGATGGAAGCAACCCCCTATATTTTACTAAAGAAAAATTTCTATTCTCTCATTTGGCAGAATAAATAGACCAGATTTTTAGCTGGCTACATTAAGTTCCCTAAAATAGCCTGCAACAGCCAGAGTTCCTAGCCTTTAGTGAACAGTACAAGAGGTATGGAACAGTGACCTTGCATGGCGACTGTCACTGTTTCTAAGGGCAAAAAAATATATATCTATGTGCACCACTCACAGATATATATTTTTGTGAAATGTATATCACTTTGTGAAAATCCATATAAAACGTGTTTATGGAACCACATTTTATGGGCCCTTAAGTATCCCTGTCAATTTTCTTTGAAAAAATATATATTTTAATTGTACAACCTGGTCATATATGAGCTGAACACAGCTAAACATTCTAAATAACGAGTCATTGTACTTACTCTGCGTTTTTTTTGAAGTTGATATTTTGATTCACGATATGGTGGGACACAGTAGTTTTTTTCAAAATCAGGAGTAATGACGGCTTTCTGCATAATCTATAAAATTATTAAATTGGCTTTAAAGTTTCAGAATGTCATGTAACTTTTTTCAACATTTTTTTGCATTACAGAAACATCTCTTAACATATTACCTTTATGCACAGACATACTACTGCAAAGTTGTTCCTGTTCTTAAATTTGTAAATTATATAAAAATGCTTTAGAAGGCAAACGGAAGGATTATTTTAGGAAATCTGTAAAATTGATCATCAGTTCAAATTTCTTTCACTATTATGAATCTGCACACATTGCATTTACATTGTGTCTATTTGAATTTATTTCTTGGTGTGCAACCAGCCACCTGCACCAAACAACTGGAAAATAATGGGAACAATGCCACAATGGCTCTTGAAATCCCTGAAAAAAACCTGTTTTTTAGTAAGTTCTTTTGATATTGGTAAAACAGTTTATAATCTGAGGAGACTGGCTTAGACTATTAATAAGTATAGCAATATAGATTTTGATTGAACAACATATACTTTTTAATGTTATACCAATGAGATCATCCTATCTAGACAAGTCTGATTTTTGCAACTCAACGTATCTTGGATGAATTTTTCAATGTCAGTTTACACATAGACCAACAACTTTCTTATTAATAGCTGTTATACACCAGTTTTTCTTCTGACACTTAGTTTTAACAGTTTCCATTAAACTTTTTTCCATTAAACATTGTAAACATCACCTCTGCACACTTGTGATTATTTTTGTAAACCAGATTCCAAAATCTGTCATTTAAAAATTTTATAGGTAATGTTAAATTGCCTTGCATTCAAATAGTATAAACTCCTACCAACAGTTAACAAGGGCCCTTTTTCTTTATATTACCACCAACATTGGCTTTTATCTTTTTGTATGTTGTCAGTGGTGTTTCTTGGCTATTTTCACTTGCTGTTAATCATTTTTATGTATCAAGTCCTCCTTCTGTGGGAATGCCTGTAGTCTTTTGGGTTCTTTTTCATTTTTAATTAGGGTCGTGTTCTTATTAATTTGTAGAAATGTTATTTTGTATCTTAATGATATGAATCTGTGGTATTGCTTAAGTTTTAAAATTTTGTGTTGTTAGTCAAATCTGTTACTCTTTTCCTAAATTACTTCTGCATATTTTATGTGCCTGGGATGATTAAATATTGTCATAAATACCATTTACGTGACTAGAAGCAGCCTCAGGGTAGTCATTTCCCCCAGCGCAAGAACTAAAAAAGATGACTCCTTAATCCTCAAAATAGTTCTCAAGAATATAGCAAATATTAATGTGGTCAATAACATTTGCTATTATCAATTCAAAAATCAATTATCAATTCAGACACCCCCAATTTAGGTTCAGGCTTAGAAGTTTATGAGTAGTACTGTAGCAGTCTAGACTTTCCTAGCACTCAGAAAAGAGAGCATTATGTTTAACAGCTTATTAAGAACTTGTGTCAAGTACCACACTAGGGTTTAGGACAGTGTTTTTCAATTGTGACCAAGATATTTTGTGTGTGTGTATGCTATTGGCATCTAGTGGGGAGAGCCAACACTGCTGCTAAACATCCTATAATGCACAGGCACTCTCCCACAACAAAGAATTATCCAGCCCAAACATAAATATTGCTGAGGTCGAAAAATCCTGTTTTAGGAATACAAAGATAAAAGACAGTAAAATAACAGGTATACCACATGATTAATAATGAATCTGATATTGGGTGTTGTAGAAGCACAGAGGTTGGGGGAAGGACTACGGTCAAAGAATGTCTCCCAAAGACAGTGATCTATCTCTGCATTGGCCTGGGAAAGAAAAGGGTATGTTTAGGTAACTATAGCAGTCTTCGATGGTGAGAACACAGCAGGTGGGTAGAGTTGGAAGAACAGAGGCACCTTGAAGGCTCTGAGGGACCCACTGAAGGACTTAAAAAGAATATCATGGTCAGATTTAGGATTTTAGAAAATCTAGCCAGAGTACAGACAACAGCTTGAAGAACAAAGAGTAAGGAGGCTACTACAGTAGTCTAAATGAAAAAGGTCGGCATGAGCCAGTGACAGTGGGGCAAAAAGGAGGGAACAGAGTAGAAAGTATGTAAGCATTATAGCCTAGGCTTAGTGGCTGCAAAATGGATCGATTTTGGCATCAGTAACCAGGACAGAGAATACAAGAGCAGGAGCTGGTTCAGGCAGGGAACAAAATAGGGCAATTAGCGAGATTAAGTGCCTGAGCACAAATGAAAGAGCAGACAACAGGCACCTAGATTTAAAGACCTGAGAGGCAGCAAGGTTAGAAAACACAAACGTGAAAAGCAGCTGTGCAAGGTGGTGACTAAAGCTGAGGGTTTGGGTAAGGTTTTCTAACCTACAACTTCCTTCTGAAATTAAATGTACAATTTTATGTACAAAAAGGTGCACTTTTTCCTGATGGGGGAGGCAGGCACTCACAGCTTTCAGATTCTCATCACAGTCCAGAACAGTTAAGAACTAAAAGTATACCAAGAAAAGAGAAGAAAACACAGCCCCTGGGATCATAACTGATGGGTGCAAGAGGAGGAACATTGATCCTGTATTACTTTATTTTTTCAAGTGTCATCTTTTACAACTAGGACTTCATAAAAATGAAAAATGATTGTTTTGGAAAGAGGGAATGGAGCACAGCAGGCTGATGTGACTTCAATGTAGGAAAATTGGTCTCTCACCAAGGACTAATCATTTCTAGAAGTAATTAGCTAGTTCTATGAAAACCTACAGGCCACTTCATGTAACTTACCTCATTTTTCTTTTTCTCCTTGATCTGTGTTAGAGTTTTCTTGTTTGACTGTAATTTGTCTGCATTAAAATTTATATACAAACCACCCAATTGCTTGATACTCAGACCAGGGTCTATGCTGCTGCTTGTCAACTTCAGACTGAAAGAGAAATGATCACTTAAAGATCAAGTAATTAAATCAGAACGGAAATAACTGAGACTATTTTAAAATCACTTTTTTCCCCCCTTTTCTCCCCTTCTACTGTGAATGGAAAAAAAAGATCCTTATTTTTACAATAAAGTTTTGAAAAACTGGACAAATACATAATCTATTAAAAGTCATTAAGAAAAAAATTCTGGGATAATGAATTAAACAAAAAAGCTTTTTGGGAGCACATGCAAATTTATTCCCCAGATTTTCTTTAAGAGGATTAAGGCCATATACTATACCAACAGATTTCTTAACAGGATTTTTTTTTGGTTAATCCTCACCCGAGGATATTTTTTTCCACTGCTTTGGGAAAGG